CACCTGTTTCACACACACACACACGCACCTGTTCCACACACACACACACGCACCTGTTTCACACACACACCTGTTTCACAAAACACACGCACCTGTTTCACAAAACACACATGCACCTGTTTCACACAGACGCACCTGCTTTACAAAACACACGCAGTTTCTCTCACACACGCACCTGTTTCACACACACACCTGTTTCACAAAACACACGCACCTGTTTCACAAAACACACATGCACCTGTTTCACACAGACGCACCTGCTTTACAAAACACACGCAGTTTCTCTCACACACGCACCTGTTTCTCACACGCACCTGCTTCACAACACACACACACTTTTTTTTTGGTTTTGCTTCAGTCCTGAAAATCTAAAACTGTAAATCTCTTGTTGTGAAGCAAACGATTGTTTTTGTAAACGACGAGTCGTAGCGTAAACAAGGTCAACGAGTCGTCTGAACTTGGCCCTGTTGGAATAAYGGAGGAGTTCAGCTCCTCCTGCTGGACGTTGTCCTCTCTGCTCTTTAAATGTTTGGGACTTTTTGGCTTCAGAACTTCTTCAGGGTTTAAAGAGCAGAGAGAAAAACAAACACACAAACACACAAACACACACACACACTTGGTTTCTGCTGAATTCACCAGTGCTGACAACTAAACAAAACACACCTGAAAACGCACAAATCATCTGTTTTATGTTTTTATCTTTAGGATGTTTCTGAGTCTCAGCTGCCTGTTCAAAGATGCTACAAATCTGCTGCTGAAACCAGAGCCCCTCACCTGGTTCAGAACCAGAACCAGAACCCACCTCACCTGGTTCAGAACCAGAACCCACCTCACCTGGTTCAGAACCAGAACCAGAAGAATCGGACCTTATTGCTGCTGTGGTCCTTCAGAGACAGAACTGTGTCAGAGCTCCGTGGTCCACGAAGCCGTTTTACATCCAGTCCAAATAAAAGTAACAAAAACCTGAAGGAGTTTCTGACAGCAGCCCCAAACCCAGAACCTTCAGAGACAGAACCAGACTGATCTGTCCCGTTTAGAGTCTGAGACCCACAAAGATCTGAGAAAGACCTTCAAGCTGACAGAAACTGTTCCTGAAATTAAAACCTGCATTTCTCTACAGCTTTAGTTCAACAGGATTATTTTAAACTGAAGACACTCCAAAGGGACAAACCAGGACAGAGTCCCGGTCCAGATGTCCTGTAGATTCAGCTGGTGAGACCTGAGCTGGTTCTTCGGGTAGTCACAGGACTGAGGGGCATCAGGGTGGGTTAGCTCTGGACATGGAGCACAGGCAGCTGAAGACAGACCGGACCTGGCCCAGGACAGAGCGTCTCAATGATGGACGTGTTAGAGGTCCAGACCACCGGATGTTCTGAGACCACAGGACAGGAGACAACTTCCCTGGACGTGTCCACCAGAGGACAACTGATGTGACAAACATGAACCAACGAGTCCAGAACAACTTCAGAGACAACAGAGACCAGAGGTGAACTCTGACGTCCAAGATCATCAGGGTCAGATGAGACCAGTCCGTGRGACAAACTGGACTTAAGACCACTGAGGACACCGGATCATGAAGGAGACCGGTCCATTAAGTGTCTCAGAGACAAAACTGGACCTTTTTGTCCATCGGCTCTGTGTCRAATGGAATCTCAAGACTATCAAGGCCTTCTGGAGCTAAATGAGTTTTCAAACCTGAGGAACCCGTCAGACCTGGGACACCTGTGGACAGGTGGGACACCTGTGGACACCTGTGGACAGGTGGGACAGAACCCACCTGATTGTCTCAGTTTATTCCTTTTTGTTTGTTTTTGTAATAATTCTGTCAAACTGAACCAGAGGAGAAACGACAGGTTTGATCCAACGTTCATCAGTTCCAGGGTCTTCCAGGGATCTTTGTGGTCTCTGTTTCTGGGACTCGACTCATTTAATGAATTCAGAGAAATACATTCAGCAGCTCCGACACGTCCGGGCTTCAAACCGATGATCCAGAACCAAACGACCYGTCTGAGGGTGTGCAGGGAAAATAAAACTAACTGAACCTTCCAAATATTGTTCTGCACCAAATCTGGACCAGTTCAAACTGGTGACCAGTTTCCAGCTGCAGCAGCCAGAAGATTCACAGTCAGATCACAACCAGAGGGTTTCATGTTCACTGAGAACAACCAGCAGCTCCTCGCTCTCATGGAGGAAACAAACAGTCTGCAGTTTGGAAAGAAAGCTGCCATTTCTGATTTATTGCAACGTTTAAAGAAACGTTTCACATTCAGGGTGTGTGTGTGTGTGTGTGTGTGTGTGTGTGTGTGTGTGTGTGTGTGTGTGTG